TTTTGAATGGGATGCTTTCCATGTTAACCTTTTGCATGCTAACAAGAAGTAGCATGCATCAACTAGCTCTTTTCCAGAGTAAGGCTTTTGATGTATTAAAATATTCACATTCTCCATTGGTTTTGATATTGCAATGGCATTTAATCTTTGACTATTTTTCTTTGTAAGAAGAGAAAAATCACAGCAACACACCAAGAAAAAGTCTTCCATTACATGTGTGTGTGCTTGGTTTCGCTTAAGCCTGACTACTTTAGATACAGGATTCTTTCAAATAAAATACTTGTTTTGCTTGCGTGTACCTCATGTATTATTCCTTATCTGAAAGGTGTAATAATTAGAGGGCCATTACTGTCCCTGTGAAGTCAATTATTTTATTTCCTTTTTCTTTTGTATGTCCCTATTTATTACATAGGAGCTCTGGTAGTGTAGTGCCTAAGGCACTTGACTGCTAACCAAAAGGGTGGCGGTTCAAACCTACCAGCCACTTCTCAGAGGAAGATGGGGAAATCTACTTCTCTAGTGATACAGCCTTGGACACCCAAGGAGGGGTCACTATGAATCGAGTCCCACTCGACGGCACATAACAACAACATTTATTACTTAACTAGTGTGACAAATGTGCATTAACTATCACTAATGAAAAATGTGTTGGCACCAGCAGTGGTGTTAAAGGAAAATGTCAGATCACTCATTTTCCTCTTGATTTGGTGGAGTGTGGTTGAAGAAAATGTTGGAATAAACAGAATGACATGGTTAATGTTATAACAGAATGGTTTGATTTACTGAAAAGAATACAAATTAATAAGCAGCAAACTCACTTCTATTGACAGAACTTAGTAATTGTCAGACATCATATTATCTTTTTCTATTGTTCCCTGTAAACTGATGGAAATTTTAGACACAATGTAGATTAATGGAAAGGCGACCTTTGCAAAATTAATGGTTACTTAGATTTAAACAAAAGATTGAAAGTAACAACAAGAAAAAACATAACAAGAGCATGAGTGGCAACTATACTGTATCTATACTTCTGAATAACATTCTCTATACTTGTTTGAAGCTTTGCTATTCACTATTTTTGTTAAAATATTGCATAATATGATTATCAGATGATATTTATTTATGAAATATTATTATCTGAGAATTTTAAAAATATATAAAATTACCAAATTAAAAATATGGATCCATTTAGAATATTATTTTTAAGTTAAACTTCTTTCAATCTTATGATTAAATTTAAAAATCTTTTCTTCATAATAAAAAATGTTTATATGCTAAACAATGAACATTCACTAAGGAAAGATAAATTTTAACAGAAAAAATGAAATAGGTGTTCACATTGTTTCTTTAATGAAAACAATTTTTAAAGTTGAGTCTATTTCCAACTTTTAAATTTTTTAACAAAAAAGGTAAGAATAGATGCACAAGATCTTGGGCTTGTCAAAGAAAGTCATAAAATGAAAAGTATGGGAAGCTTAGCTTTAGACTGAAGGAACACCGAGAAGTGCAACAAGGACACCAGCTATAATTGACCACTTTGTTTCCTTTAGGTGACCTTCTAATGCACCCAGTGGCCTTGCATTTAGTGCATCACACAGAACCAATCTTAGTCTTTGCCACTCAATATTCATACATAATTATATTGATATTTCCCTCTTCTGTTATTTGAGGTGTCTCTTCTTCATTGAGAATATTCCCCAATCCTGCTTACGTTCTATTTTAGCTCTCTTGATTCATTCATTTCTAAGGTTTGTTCAATGGCAGACACACTGCACTCCCTCAGATATCTTGTGTGGGCTAATCTCTAATGGATTCATTAACAAGAAGTGCTCACACAGCTTATCCAGAAGCATGAACTGGTCACCTTAGAGAAGTCTTTGCATCTTTGGGTTACATAACTATAGAGTAAAATTAAGAAGAGTTTTAACTGGGAAGCAATTTCATTTTATAAAAGTTGTCAATTCTATTAAAATGCTTAAGAAGAGGGCTTTCAAATTCTGTGATATCTCACATATGCATTGTAGATATCCAATATCCTATTAGCTGAAAAAAATTAAACATATAATGGTCCTCATGTATTTAACGTAAATGGGCAAACTAATTTTTTTCAAGGCATAGGCCTATCCTAGTACAAATCTTCTGACCTGATTCATCATCCTATTTAATAACAAAATAAATTTTAGAACACTTACAGAAATTTGCACAGGATTGACTTGCCCAGACACTGTGCATATGAGAAAAAAATACACCTTTTGTGTTGATTTATGTCTTTTTAAATGTTTCAGAAGCAGAGACAACACATTTAAATTCCTTATCTACAAACAGGAAGAACTCTGGTGGCGTAGTGCCTAAGGCATTTGACTGCTAACCAGAAGGCTGGTGGTTCAAACCCACCAGCCACTCCTTGGAAGAAAAGTTGGGCAGTAGTGATACTGCCTCGGAAACCCAAGGGGTTGCTATGAGTCGGATCTGACTGGATGGCAGTGAGTTAGTTTTAGATAGTTAATTGAGTTACATATTTTTAAAAGGCAACTTGAACATTTTCTGACCTCACTCTTTCCACCTGTGTATAGAAGAGTTAAGTCAGAGTCATGGTCAAAATTTAAATTAAAAAACCAAACCAAATTCACTGCCATCCAGTCAGATCCGACTCATAGTGACTTCTCCCTCGGTTCCTGAGGTGGTATCACTACAGAAGTAGATTGCCCAATCCTACCTCTGAGGAGTGGCTGGTGGATTTGAACCCCCAGCCTTCTGGTTAGCAGTCAAATGCTTTAGGCACTATACCACCAGAGCTCCTAAAATTTAAACAGTAATAATAATAATTCAAAAAACATATTTTTTTCCTTTCTGGAAAATTCTTTCCACATTGATGTAGCAAAAGGAGTTAAAGTAGAGGTGGAGAAAACAAAAATAAAACAATGGGTGAAATTATAGGATTTTCTATCTTAATTTGAAATCTCAGTGTTGAAAACTTCTAATAAAATGATGGGCTATTGTCAACAGATACTGAGTGTTAGCCAGAAAACTTTATTGGAAGCCCGAACTAAATGATTTCTTATGCTTGCTTCTTTTTGGCATCTTAAAAACCCCAAACTAAACCCATTGCCATCAAGTCAATTCTGATTCTTAGTGACCCTATGAGACAGAGTAGAACTGACCCATAGGATTTCTTAGGCTGTAATCTTCAGGATAGCAGACTGCCACATCTTTCTTGTGAAGACCATCTGATGGATTTGAACGGTCAACTTTTAGTTAACATCCAAGCACTTAACCACTGCACCACCAGAGCTCAAAGGTGTTTTAGTAAAAATGAACTCACTGCCATCGAGTTGATTCCAACTCATAGCAACCCTGTTGGGTTTTCAAGGCTCTATGTATTTCAGAAGCAGACTGCCTCATCTTTCTCCACGGAGGCATCTTGCCACCTTAGGCACCTTAATAATTTATATTCTGCAAAGATATGCTGAATTAATGTTTCTAAATATATTTTTTATTTGGCTGTATTTGCTGATATCGCCTCTCTGCTTTTGAAGATAAAGCTACTGGCACTTTAGTCAAGATTGCCTGTTGAGTTTCAAAGGATACTCTTATATGTTTAGAATGGGAAGGCGTCACAGACTGATGAAGTAGCAACACTGAGTGACAGAGCTACCTAAATCTATCTTAAGTACAGACTAGCAAATTGCTTAATTATGTTCTTTCTTATCTCATTTAGTTTGTTAAAACATAATTAATTATTTTTCAGAGAAGTTATCAATGTCACGCACAGATCTAATATTCTGACCTGTATGTCACCTTCTATAAGTGCGCACAATTAACAGTATTGACACATGTCTGAAAAGTGTATTTGTAAATGTTATACACTTTTAAGAAGAGAAAGAAAAATCTTTTTTCTATTCATAAATCATATAATTAGGTCCATAACGCACCAAATTAGCTGTTATGAAACAGGCTTTCATCATTAGCATGCAGTATAAAATTTAGAACAGACTGTAAAGTACTAACAGACATACTATTGCTAAAATATTAAATCATTTCTATCTTTCGCATTCTAAAGGCAGTAGCCCATATTACCATCAATTACAATTATGTTGCATATTACTCTGAAATAGAATGTAGGAAATGAGTATTCCATTGAGAACTCTTGTTCAGCCTAAACAACTGTATGTAACCATACAAGATAAACCAGCAGGGGTTAGGGGAGAGATGGCGATTATTCTCTCCAGGATTGGGTGGGCTACTTACCTACCTACACATGGCTTCCATGACTGAATTATAAGCATCCTTGACTGCTGAGAAACTCAACCAATGGAAAAGTTATGAAACTTCCTAAGTCCCAACTACCTTAGTAAATCCCCGATTGGGACAAATTTTGAATGTCCCTCTCTCTTCAACCAGGATGGTACAAAAACAGAAATATGGAAATCTAAGGGTAAATCCAACATCAATGATATTTTAAAGAAAAAAACATACACCACATAAAATTACATGCATTTCTGTTGCAGGTGTAACTGCTCATGAACAAAAACATGTATAATAAACATTTCATTTACATAGAAAAGTGATGATTGATCAATAAAAGCCACATGCTCCACTTTTGAATAGTCTCCACAGTAGAGGCATGATTACATTATCAGCAAAAACAAATGCTTTTAAAATCTGGTTAATGGAAGTAGTATTCATTCTTCTATGATTAAAAATATGATTAAAAACAATTCAGACTTTACTTCCAAGCAAATTGTCGCTAGTATATACTGTTCCAGAGTTACTACCAGATACATCAGTTTTTACACCTGAACACATCAAATACATGCTCATACTTAATCTTCAAGAATAATTATTTAGATATAGATAACAATACATTGACGACTTTATATGAAAACTCTTTGCTTTAGAATCCTAGTTATAGATCTTAATAGTCCTAGTTATACATTGTTAATAGCTATTTAAACTAAGTACATCACACAGAACCTTTTCTTTTATATCTTGGAAAATATATACAAGCAAGTGCAGAAATGAAAAGAATTAATTAAAAAAGTCCACAGTCTTTCAGATTTTCTTTGATTATTATATCTGTAACCGCATCAAACACAAACTTGACATTTTGGGTGTCTGTGGCACAGGTCATATGGGAATAAATTTCCTTGTCTTCTTTTTTTAAATTCAGGTCTAGAAACTGGTTCTTGATGTAGTTCCCTGCATCTTCAAATGTATTTGGCCCTTGTTGAATAAAACATTTAAGGAAGTAAAAAATAATTGCATGTTACAAAGGATAAAATCACAAATATTATCAGTAAATTTTAAAGATTTAGACTCTTACTTTATGTGCTCCTGTTAAAAGCACAGTATTATAAAATAAATATGGCAAGGGCCAATTAATGAGAACTTGTGTGGCATCTACATTGTGCTGAAAATTATACTTACCTTACTCAAAATTTCTGATGGCTAAGATGTGACCTCTGCCTCAAAAAACTCACAATACAGTTGAGATACTAACATATTTACCCAGTAACACTGATGAGTAATAGAGGTATATATATGTCAAATGCTCTTTTTGTGTTTGTATGTGTACAGATGGTTTAAATAGGAAGGTAATGGATGTTATTAATTAATAGGCTTAAAAAAATATGTTGCCATTGAGTCACTTTTGACTCATATTGACCCTGTAGGATATAGTAGAACTGTTCCATACGGTTTCCAAGGCTGCAAATCTTTACAGAAGAGACTGCAACATCTTTCCTCCAGAGAGCAGCTGTGGGTTCCAACTGCCAACCTTTTGGTTAGCAGGCAAGCACTTGACCACTGAACTGCCATTAAAAAAAACCCAAAAAACCAAACTCACTGCTACAGAGTCGATTCCAACTCATAGTGACCCTTTTGGGTTTCTGAGGCAGTAAATCTTTAAGGAAGTAGATTTCCCAGTCTTCCTTGTTTTTGCACTATTTAAATGATAAATATTTCCATATTGTATAATTTCATTAACAATATAGCATTGAACTATGCAGAGTAAAAACAATTTATAAAATAAAAAGGTTGTCCCTGAAATAAAAACAATCCTTCTGTATAACGTGACATTTATAGTCACTGCCCAACAGGATCAGCACTAAAAATCTGACACCTAGGGAACCCAGAAAAAGAGAAGATGCCACTATTTTCAAGATTCTTTCATGTAAACCCACTGAAAAGTTAATTCCAACTTTGAAACACCACTGGGATTCAATACCGCATCACAAGATTTCATTCGTAAATGCATTAAAAATACCAATTTGGAATAAAATTTGTGTTTTTAGTACAATGTTGAAAGGCAGCTTTCAGTGCCGTGTGAAATACAGAGTACAGCTCTGGTCTACCTAATCTCTTCCCTGTTTATCCTTTAGGGCTTTGCTTTAACGGAAGCAAAATAGAAAGGCTTCCTGGTTATTTGTAGACTTTCCACTTTGGATTGTACAAATGACTGAAAAAATTATCATAAGCCCCATCCTCATAAATATTAAATGTCAACATCCATATAGGAAAATATCTGCCTAGAGAAGAATTTTTTACTATGGAGTTTAAGAGAAGGAATCTTACCAGTGTACTCTGGAAAACAGATACTAAGATGCACCTTTGTTACTTTTTCTTGAAACAGATCCTTCTTATTGAGAAATAGGACAATAGAGGTGGTTGCAAAATACTTGTGATTACAGATACTGTTGAACAGGTGAAGGCTCTCATGCATTCTGTTCTGTTGAGAATACAAAATGAATATGTAGCATTAATATTTATAAAATATCAGTACAAGTCATCATAGACAAAGATCTAGCTCTAACATCCATCTTTGGAAAGCCTTCGTTGAGATGGAAATTGTGGCAGTGCTACTGGAAAGCACAAGCATTGGATTTTCACGTTTAGACTTACCACTTCCTCATCTTCTACCAGGACCATATCATAGGCACTGAGTGCAGCGCAAAATATAATGCACGTCACGCCTTCAAAGCAGTGAATCCATTTCTTTCTCTCTGATCGCTGTCCACCTACATCAAACATCCTTTAAGAGAAGACAACAAAAGAGTAATGAATCTTGTAAAAACCTTCCAAACTGTGAGTTGATATTAAGCTTGAGAGGTATAGATGGAAGCTACTGTATCTTTAAAAGAGATTCATTTGATTTTTATTGATGAGAAAACAAATTTTATTTGGCCAACTTGCAGCTCATGGATGACAGAAAAAGAGAAAATGCTTTGTCCTTTTGTTGTTGTTTGTATTTTTTTCAGGTAGCCTCCCAAAAACCAAACCCACTGCTGCAGAGTAGATTCTGACTCATAGTGACCCTAAAGGACAGAGGGTTTCCAAGCCTGGCCCATAGGGTTTCTAACACTGAAAAACTTTACAGAAGCAGACAGCCACATCTATTTCCCCTGGACCTGCTGGTGCATTCAAATGACCAACCTTTGTGTTAGCAGCCTACTGCTTAACCACTGCACCACGAGGACCCCCTTATACAGACTGTTGTTGTTTGTTGTTATGTGCCATCGTGTGGACCCGACTCATAGCAACCCCTCCTTGGGGGTCCGAGGTGGTAACACTACAGAAATAGATAGCCCAGCCTGCCTTCCGAGGAGTGGCTGGTGGGTTTGAACCTCCAGCTTTCTGGTTAGCAGTCAAGTGCCAGACACACTACACTACCAGAGCTCCTTTATACAGACTAGAGTGAGATAAGTCACACAATAACTTTGACCAGCTGGGAAACTCAAATTAGCTTAGAATTTCAGTAAAAATATATTTGCCTTTAAAGATTTTGATGCTGGTCTACAAATATTCTGCTTGAGTTAAAGAACTTGCAAGAAATTCGGAAGGTACTATAGTACTGAAATTATGATTCTTGCCTGTCCTCTTAGCTCTCTCTGCATTCATCCATTCAAACAATTATTGTTTGCATGCGATGTGCTAGTCATTGTGCCAGGCATATTAACATAAAGATGAAAACATATGCTTACTATATTAAAAGAACTTGCTGTCCGGTAGAAAGAAGAAAAAAACACACACACACACACATAAATTTAATAAAAATCCACTGCCATCAAGTTGATTCCATAGTAACTCCCATAGGGGTTTTGAAGGCTGTAAATCTTTACAGAAGTAGGTTACCTTATCTGTCTCTGAAGAAGCAGCTGGTAGGTTTGAACCCTGACCTTCTGATTAGCAGTCAAACGTTTTACCCATTGTACCACTACAGCTCCTTAAATTATTATAAAACTATGTACTAAATATTCTAATATACAAGGTTCCAGAGGCAACAAAGCAATTTCTCCCGCACCTGCCTGCATGACTTTACACTGAAACCCTAAAGAAAGAATGTACCCTGGGGAAATAGGTCCCTTCCCCCAGTGACTTAGTGGTAAAGTATATATGTAATTATCTAATGGCATGCTGACAAGATCTAATCTTAATCGAGGAAGGGGAGAGAATGTTCTCTCTTTGACGCCATCAGGGCTTGAGATAATAACTACATGTCAGACATGCACTCTGAGCCTAAGCTGTGTCAAGGGGCACCTCCCTCTTCCCCTAACCCTGTTTTCCTAAGCAGCCCAGCATGGAAACCCTTCCAGTCAGAAGTATGTTAGCCCTGGGTCCCTTTGTCCTTTTGTTCCTCTGCCTACAATGCAGTGATGTGTGCTGGGAGCAGCATCTATCTGAGGAACCCATCTGAGATGAATTCTACCCTTTCCTGTAACTACTGTGTAAATAATAATGCTGGTGGTCTCAACACTGGGTAATGTCAATGATGTCCTGAGAACTCATAGTCCTACATGAGCTCATTGGTTCATTCTTGTCTCACTGCAAAAGTAAAATGTGAGCACAGAAGAACACTTGATTGCATCTGCCCGAGGAATCTTGAAAGTTACTCAGAGGAGGTATTTGTAAACCTGAGCCACCTTCTGTTTTTTTTAATTTGGTTAAAAGCACTATCATGTTTGTGTCTTGCAACTCAAGAAAGAAACTGGTGTATACTCTTAATACCACACTTTCCCTTATCCTCTCCCCATACTACACATTAAAAATGTGGTTTCCAATTCATCCATTTCTTTCCAATTCTTTTACTCAACCCACCAGCGTTTCTTACCAGGGTTAGTGCAAAATTGTCCTGATTGGCCTTCCTGTTTTTTCTCTGTCAGCCATAAAATTGTTTCTCAGCAATTCTCAGAAGTTTGTTTCAATGTGACTTTTATTATACCACTTTCATTCTTAACAACTTTCCAATGGGTTCTTTGTCTTAGAATGAAACTCAAACCGGGACAACTGACCTATAAGCCATAGCTGTTCTGGTTCCTACTTACCTTTCCAAGCTTATTTCTTAGTTCTTTCTTTTTCACTGCAGTCCAATCACAAGGCTGTTATTTTGGTTTTAATAAACCATCTTGTATCATCTCTGGATTTTATCTCCTTTCCCTAGAGCATGAATTTCCTTCGTCTTTACAACACTGCCTCTTTTAAAGTTTTCATGTCTTAGCTTCAAGATCTCCTTTGAAAAGCTTCCTTGAGCATCTATGCAAATTTTACTCTCTCCATCTGCCTTTTACTCTTTATCACATAGCCCTATTTCCTTCACAGTAGTCATTGCAATCAACAATTAACTTGTTTGTTTATTTTTTTTACATGTTTAATATTTTTCATACCTTTAATAGTATAGCAGCCTCACGAGGACAGGAATCTTTTCTATATGAAAAACAACAACAGTAAACAAAAACTAGCCACTGAAAACCCTACAGCAAAGAACCAACTTAACCTCTCTTCCTTGGACCTCTGTAAGGACTGGTTCCTTCTTCATACTGAACCTCCAGTTCTTGGTCAGTCGATTCTCCCTCATGGTGACTCCTTGCGTGCCAGAGTAGAACTGTGCTCCGAAGGGTTTTCAATGGCTGATTTTTTGAAAGTACATTGCTAGACTTTCTTCTAAGGTACCTCTGGGAAAACTGGAACCACCAACATTGTGGTTAGCAGCTGAGGGCGTACTTGTTTGTGTCACCCCATAGTCCTAATGCTTGGCACTATGCCTGACATGGGAGTTCTGGTAGCATAGGGGCTAAGGCACTTGACTGCTAACCAGAAGGCTGGCGGTTCAAACCCACCAGCCACTCCTCAGAAGGAAGATGAGGCAATCTACTTCTGTAGTGATACTGCGTCGGAAACCCAAGGAAGGGTCGCTATGAGTTGTGTCTAACTCGATGGCACATAACAACAACAACAACATGCCTGACACAGGAGCTCTGGTGGTGTAGTGCCTAAGGCATCTGACTGCCAACCAGAAGGCTGGCAGTTCAAACCCACCAGCCACTCCCTGAAAGAAGGTTGGCAATCTATCTCTGTAGTGACACTTCCTCAGAAACCCAAGGAGGGGTCACTATGAGTCGGGTTTGACTAGATGGAAGTGAGTATGCCTGACATGTAACACATCATATATATATATATTTGTTAAATAAATGCATAAATCCTGTATCAATGAGATGGAGGGGAGTTAGGTAACGTGAAAAATATGGGCAAGTCATCAAGACATGAGTGACCATTACATGTTTGTGTCAGCAAAGACTTTATAAAGACTAATATAATTTAGAAAACAGAATGTTTTAGTTATAAAGATTAAGCTACAAGGCATGATAATTATTCATTTATTTATCATTCATTCAGAAAAAATTTATTGAGCACATATTATATGCCAGGTACTAAAGATTCAGTTGCAAGAAGCTTGTAATCTGGTAGAGGTGGTAGTGGTGAGTATGTGTGTGTTCATGTGTTTGTGACTAGACTTAGACTCTTCCGGTAGAGTAGGGAGTGCAGGAGGAGGATTACAATTTGAAATAAAGTAATTAGGAACTGGAGAAGGTGACAGCTGTATGAAGACTTAAGGAGATGGAGAATCGAGGCAAATGGATGACTTGGGAAGAGTATTCCAGGCAGAGGAACAGGAAATAGCAAAAGCAAAGGACTTGAGGAGGCAGAAGCATGCCTAGTGGGTTAGGACATAGATACACACTAATTGGGTCTTTCATGTCACATGAGAAATTTACATTTTATAAATGTGATGATATTGTCAGAAGGGACTATTCCCCGGAGAAAGATACCATCTTTGGTTAAGCGGTGGATCAATGAAAAAGGCGAAGGTCCTCAACAAGATGGACTGCCACAGTGGCTGCAATGACGGACTCAGGTATAGCAAGGATTGTGAGGGTGGTATTTCATTCTGTTGTACGTAGAGTCACTATGAGTTGGAACTGACTCAATGGCACCTAACAGCAACAACAACATCACAAACAAAGAGGTAATTTTGGAGACTTTTAGGCCAGTAATTAACATTTTTTTTTGTTTCTTCTTGTTATGTTAGATCACTTTGTTCTGAGTTCAGAAGGTAGATTTGACGAGGAAGAAGCTAGAGGAAAAGAAAGAATGGAATGGGCTGTTATAGTAGTTTAAATCCAAGTTGTTCAAAGCATCAAAAAGCTGTGCAGAGATCTCAAAGGTAATAACTGGACTCGGGGCAATAAATGTCAGCCAGCTGAATTATTGAAGATAATTGAAATCACAATTCATTGTATTCCCTATTATTTCACAATTCACATACAATCTAAATAAAGTTTGGATATATAGGACTAAAATTCCTCAAAAGCACACATGCACAAGTGCAAAATCATTCCATTCATCAGTGGACTGAAAGAGAGGATACGCTCAGTACTTAAGATGATGATAAGAATTTGACAGTCATGTGGTTTGTTAATTTAAGTTTGGTGTCAATAAAGAATATTGTATTTACTGCTATTGAATGCTGCTGGTGAGTAAAACCTTCTGCAGTTTCAGATTTGCAAAACAAATAGAGGGGACAGAATTTTGACCTTAAGGTTGTATTATCTGAAAACTTTCTAATAAGTGCAATTTAAAACAATCAAAGTTCTTATGGAAAAAATGGTAATAAACGTGCTTAAACTTTTTGATTTTTAGTCAAATGTTTTATTTTAATCCATAAAAGCAACCTTGTTGTTGTTGTCATTAGTTGTA